ATTAGTACGAGTTCTAATGATCAACAGGGTTTTTCCCTTAAAAAGTTGGTTACGGAGAATGAAGTTCTTGTAAATGAATTTCTCCATCAGCATCACTGTAGTTTCTCTGATGCTCGGGGTGACGCTGCTTTCAACCAAAGCATTGAGGTTAGTTCATTTTTGTACAATAGTTATTGTCAAGTTGATGGCTGATTTGAGATGAACTAATGATTCTGGCCTTTGATGGACTTGCTCATTTTTATAAATTCAGGGAAAAATAAAAGAGACAATGGAGAAGGCTTTTTGGGACAGCATCATGGAATCTATTAAGCAGGAACAGCCCAACTATGATCAGTTGTTCAACTCATGAAGGAGGTTAGGGATGAAATTTTGTGAGATGGCTCCACAAAGCTGGAAGGAGGGAATTTATGCAGCGATTGATGTAGAAATTTTTTCTCAGGTAACACTACATTCCTTTTCAGCCTGCTATGATTATTAGGTACAACTTTGGCCTATTCCCAATAACTTCCTTTGCTGATATAATTTTATTCTGCCCATCTGAAGGTGCTGAAATCAGGCAACTTGGATGTTGATTACCTTGGAAAGATCCTAGAATTTTTCTTTGGTCACTTTGCAGAAGCTCTCAGCTCCAGCCAACGGGAGAAAATGAAGGGCACACATCAGAGATTATTTTCGGAGTTGACTGAAATATGCCATCTAGAGACGAGTCAGACTACCCATGTGTTATGGCTTGATCAAGGGTTTTACGATTTGTCCTAGAACAGATTCAGGTGTGTTTGCATAACTGTACTTCTTTTACAAGACTCTTTTGTTGAATTTTGAATCAAGTTTTCCCTTTTGCCTGATAATAATATTTATGCAAATAGAAGTATGTTTTCTGTGTGGATTTCTTAAAGGGAACATTGAATTACTTTAGATGTGTTATATCACCAAACTGTAGTGACAAGCTTAATTTTCCCTTGATAATGCTTGTAGAGCTTACTTTCAAGAGAGTTGCACTGGCGTAAACACATCCTATCCTAGCTGATGTTTGTGGCTTTGTGCCTCATTGCAATAGAATCGGATCCTCTCCATAATTTCTTGCTTTATTTTTCCCCCACATAATCAAGAGCACTAGCCTAAAGAATTGGGAAGATGATAACTCGCTCAAAGAGCATTCAAGCTTTCTTAAGCAAGAATTTCATACCTAATATATTTTAATCGAAACTTCCTTGCTAGTTCACTGCAACAAGTTTCTACTAACCAACCTAGAAAATTTACTTGAATGAACGTAAACCAGGTCTTGTGAACGGTAAATAAGTAATAGCAGCACCACTAACCAATTTTCATTGGTTATCTTCATTCTATTCTTCAGAGTTGTCAATTTGGGTTTCTTCCCTTGAGAGATTGAACTGATGCTTCTGATTGCATATGGAGAGAAGTATTGAGAGAGCATACAAAGGATTCAATTCCGTTTACAGCTTTTTATGTCTTGACTTGTAATATTTGCTTAGTTTTACATCATTTGATACAGTGGACTGTTATTGCAGGCTCTAAAGACAGAGATTAGCAAGGCACGCATAAAGCTGATGGAGCCTTTGATAAAGGGTCCTGCGGGTCTGGATTACCTAAGGAATGCCTTTGCTAACCGTTATGGATCTCCATCTGATGCTGATACTTCTCTGCCCTCAACGTTAAATGGGTTTCATCATCAGTTTGGACTTGCAAAGATCAGGAGTGGAAAGAACACTTAAGTTTAACATCAGCTTTTGAAGGCTCTGATAGTCCATCTCAAGGCTGTCTTCCTTCCACCGCTCTTCAAACTGGGGGGAGTATACTGTCAGAACATCTGGTGCTCAAACGCCCATTTCTACTAATGGTTATACTTTTCTACAGGTATAGATTAATAGAACTGTGAGTCTAGATTGTTTCAATTAAGTTCAGAAACGGCACTTGCTGTTAAAAGATATTGAGACTCGTCTCTGTTTAATCAGGTAATCAGCAGCCAGAATGCAAAGGAGAAACAGTTGATCTAGTTGTGAGGGTTGGTTTACTAAAGTTGGTTAGTCGTATATCTGGTCTGAGACAAGAAGATTTACCAGAAACGCTACTTCTTAAGCAAGAATTTCATACCTAATATATTTTAATCGAAACTTCCTTGCTAGTTCACTGCAACAAGTTTCTACTAACCAACCTAGAAATTTACTTGAATGAACGTAAAACCAGGTCTTGTGAACGGTAAATAAGTAATAGCAGCACCACTAACAATTTTATTGGTTATCTTCATTCTATTCTTCAGAGTTGTCAATTTGGGTTTCTTCCCTTGAGAGATTGAACTGATGCTTCTGATTGCATATGGAGAGAAGTATTGAGAGAGCATACAAAGGATTCAATTCCGTTTACAGCTTTTTATGTCTTGACTTGTAATATTTGCTTAGTTTTACATCATTTGATACAGTGGACTGTTATGCAGGCTCTAAAGACAGAGATTAGCAAGGCACGCATAAAGCTGATGGAGCCTTTGATAAAGGGTCCTGCGGGTCTGGATTACCTAAGGAATGCCTTTGCTAACCGTTATGGATCTCCATCTGATGCTGATACTTCTCTGCCCTCAACGTTAAGATGGGTTTCATCAGTTTGGACTTGCAAAGATCAGGAGTGGAAAGAACACTTAAGTTTAACATCAGCTTTTGAAGGCTCTGATAGTCCATCTCAAGGCTGTCTTCCTTCCACCGCTCTTCAAACTGGGGGGAGTATACTGGTCAGAACATCTGGTGCTCAAACGCCCATTTCTACTAATGGTTATACTTCTACAGGTATAGATTAATAGAACTGTGAGTCTAGATTGTTTCAATTAAGTTCAGAAACGGCACTTGCTGTTAAAAGATATTGAGACTCGTCTCTGTTTAATCAGGTAATCAGCAGCCAGAATGCAAAGGAGAAACAGTTGATCTAGTTGTGAGGGTTGGTTTACTAAAGTTGGTTAGTCGTATATCTGGTCTGAGACAAGAAGATTTACCAGAAACGCTACTTCTGAATTTCCAAAGGCTGAGATCTGTTCAAGCTCAGATTCAGAAGATTATCGTGATTTCTACAAGGTAGGGGATGCATGATATGTTTGTCATAAGATTGCCACAACTTTACGTGGGAGAATGCTGGTTTTACTGCTATGTATTGTGTACTGATCTGTAAATTATTTTATTCGGAAATTGCAGCATTCTTATATGCCGCCAGATCCTCCTGAGTGAGAAAGCTGTAGCCAGTCCTGTGGATGTGGAAAACATAATATCAAAGCGTGCTGAACAACTCTTGGATCTATTGGACCGTGCTGAAGACGCCGATATTAAAGATATTGTAGAAGTGATTTGTGAGTCGGACAAAGTTGGGGATGAAGATGAAGTCAGCGATGCCGGGCAACTTCAATCAAGGAAGCTAGTTGCTGCTAGGATGATAGCAAAGAGCTTACAAGCTGGGGATGCCGTGTTTGAAAGAGTGTTCAACACCGTCTATTCAGCTACACGAGGAGTTGTGCTCGGCGGAAGTGGGGTCCGCGGGAGAAAATTGGCAGAAATGGCTCTCCGGAGAGTTGGAGCCGCTGTCCTGTCTGAGAAGGTGGTGGAAGTTGCAGAAGTTTTGATCAAGGCAGCCACCATATCAGTTACAGTTCATGGGCATGGTATAAATATCTGACTGATAGCATGGAATGTAAGGTGTGAGTTGAAGTACATAAACAATGACTCAGATTTGTAGATAAAACAATTTGTATGTAGAAAGTTAGTCAGCTCTGGATCTTATACGTTCATCTTATTGAGTATTTTTGTTATGTAACGCACCCAATGTACAACTGAAAGCTATGGATGATGGATTCTACTGCTCTGACTGCCATTTCCTTTCTTTTTGTTTTTGGTTCCAAATGCCAGAAATAGTCGTTGTTCATCTGCAAAACTTAATTATATCGGTCAAACATAAGGGCTTGTAATGAAGTTCTTCTCAGAGTCCAATGAAACCCAAAAAAATAAAAAAATAAAAAAATTGTAGATTATTCACCTGAAAATTATGACTCTACCTCCCTAGAATGAATAAAGTCAAATAAACAATTGACAATTATATGTTTTCAAACCAAAAGAATATCAGCCAGAAAATAGAAGTTTTATGGGAATATTATACTCAGATCCACACAAGAGAATTAATTCACAAAAAGTCCCTTGAAATCCCAAAATAACTTCCAAGTCCCCAGGGACCGGCATGTAATAAATTGTAATTATAAAATTATTTATTTACTCCCATTCATTTACAACCTAACAGTGTTGTTGACAACCCAAGGAGAAGTGGTGAACAACCTCGGCAGTGCTCCTGGTATCCCACAGAGTGAGTTGTCAGGGGCACTGCCGAGATTGTTAACCATTTCTCTTTGAGTTGTCAACAGTCACTGTTGAGATTGTAAATAAATTATTGCAATAAAATTAATGGGGTAAGTAGGTAATTTCATAATTTTAATTTATTACACACAGGTCTTTGGGAACTTAGGAATCATTTTAGAATTTCAGGACTTTTTATCAATTAATTGTCTTGTGTGGGACCTATGTGTAATTTTCCTAAGTTTTATTCTCCCTTTTTCAGTCCTTTTTATAATATGATGTTTTTATAATTCTAGTCCTATTTGTAACAAATAATAACTTCTTGTTTAGAACATTTATTAAAAAATTTTATATCCTCATTAAAAAAGAGTATTAATAATGAAATTAATTATTAAAGGCCACCAACTAATTGTTAAATGAGGGTATTTTTGAAATAAATTTATATTTTTAACATATTTATTAATTCAGTTAACTACATTTTGTTATTCTTTAAAAAACATTATTCATTTTTTTATAAAAAGGGATGGGAGAAATATGTGAGGAATAACATGAGGTTTCATTAAATAAAATTAAATTAATTTTGGAAAATAATAATTTTAATTTTTAAAATTAAAATCTGGGAGCTGTTATGGATATGGTCATGTCATACTGATTCTTCCGCTCAGTCGCCGTAGGCCGCAGCACGCAGAAGAAGGGAAGCAGCGCCGCTCAACCGGTGAAGAGAAACTCACAAAAATAGTTTGGCCTTTCATCGTCAGCTTCATAGCCTCCACTAACTCATTGTCTTCCATTTTGAGTTTCAGTTGTCAATTTTTTTGTCTTTTGTTTCGAGACATTATATTACTGTTTCGGATTGCAGTTCCTCACTTGCAGGTTCGATTTCTTCGCCTGAACTGTGAATGCACTAAGGGTAACAACTCGCATTTCTTCATGGGTTCTATCAGCTTTAACCCTTTCGATAATTGGTTCAGAAAGCCACCAAACCCCCTTCCTCCTCTAAATCTTTTGAATTTCTCGGAGTCATTTTCTCTAAAAGCACCTCATTCAAGTTCTCCAAATTTTGCTGCCATTAGCGTCCCTAATTTCTTCAAAGGAAAGCCTAAAAACCTAAGGATGAGCCCGGGTATTACAGGAAAATGGCTGACCAGTTCTTCTGGGAGTGTGAGAATATACCTGATTATAGGCATACCCCTGAAGTTGAGAAGATCCTGAATGATGACCCAATATTTGAAAAGAAAGAAAACCCTACTGAGGAGGAAATCAGAGAGAATGAAAGGGTCCTGCAAGAGATAAGAAACAACCCTGTCATGCAGTTCTTGGTGAGAGCAGAGGAAATTGCAGATAAGATGAACGAATTGGAGCTCAAAGAGAATGAAAATCCGTATCACAAAGAGGATCGGGAGCTGTGGAAGGCGCTTCCACATGTGCCTGGATTAGATGGGCGACCTATGCCAAGGAAGTCTCTGAAGACGAAGAAAGAGGCAGATGATAAGTTCTGGGATTTCGCAAGACAGTTCTTCTTCGGCCTCTGGGGGTTTAAGCAGAGGCCTTATCCGTCGGGTCGGCCAATCGATGTTGCTCAAGCAATTGGGTATAAGCGGCTTGATAAGCGATACTATGACTGTGAGTGTCTGTACTTGGAATATAGTTCATTTCGTAAAGAGGGATTATAGTGTGCATCTAGGCGTATGTTGAAGAGCGAACTAACAGATTAATGAGTGAAAATAATAAATTTGCGATGCACTGGACCCCTTGTCAATTGACTGAGAATGCCTGGAAGACTGACAAGAACAAAATTTGCTGTGACCGTGAACTAAATCATGCACTGTTTCCATTTTTCAAACCGAAAGCTAATGGCCTGTTGATATTTAGGGATTAATTGCTAGTTTACGCTGTTTCAATCTGTAAAGCTCCAATAACTATGTATTAATATACAGTGAGAGATATATCGTTTTTATTTGTTTATTTATATTTTGAGATGAGAGTTATATGTGGGGATATCTACCCTGCCGTAATTATTGGTTGAATGCATGAGGTTGGAGCAAATGATGTTTTCATTTCTTTTGTGACAGTTATCATGAGGAGTGGAGGATGGTACTATAAGGATCGGTTGGGACGTACAAGGGGGCCATGTGAGCTTATTACTCTTAAAACAGCATGGGGTGCTGGGATAATTGATAAGAATACTTTCATTTGGGGTGAGGATATGGATGAATGGGCGCCTATCCACATGGTTTATGGCTTGGAACGTGCTGTTGCTACATGGGAAGGTCTGTTAAATTTCAATTTATTATTCCTTCTTACTTTCTTTTGTTTTCTCCGGGGTTGTGCTGGGGTAGGGTATTTTTACAACAAAAGAAGATGCTCATAATCAGACTTCTATATTTTTTTTATTGGTGAAGATTTCTGTGGCAATATACAATTCCAAGTGGTCAAGTCTCACCTTTTGTGTTGGAGAATTTGATTCTTGGTTTGGCATTTTTCAGTTAGACTGGGTGCTGCAGCAACAGCTTTTCTTCACAAACTGCAGAAAGGTATACCACCATGGGTTCCTCTTAAGGGGCATGAAAAGAAGACTTACAAGCAGCTTCAGGAAGAGGCTATAGAAAGCAAGAGACGTGATTTAGCAGTACTGGAAGCTAACGATGGTGTTTGGCCTGGAGTTAGAATTCCAAGTCATGCTCTATTTCTTTGGGCCAGTGGTTCTGAGTTGACCACTATTTTGGAGCAGGATCACATGCCCAACAAATACATTCCCAAAGATCTTAGGTATGCATATGCTTAGTGTACTGTAAATATTGAATGACCGTGTTTACTGTCATGAGGTTTTCACAAATAAAGATCTTGGGCTCCTGGCTGGTATTGCTGTATTAGCTAATTTGCATTGGTTTCCTTAATGTATTATAGGCAACAGTTAGCTACAATTATTCCTGGGTTAAGGCCGTGGGAAGTTCTGAGTATTGAACAAGCAATGGATCAAATAACATATAATGGCGAGTGGTACCGTGAACCTCTTGGTTCCTACAGTACTGGTCCTCCATACATCAGGCACTGGAATAAGGATGTTATGGTATGCATTTCTCATCTGAGCAGTATTTGAATATCTTTTTCAATTATAGTGAGTTTCTTTATTATCCTTTTCTTTTCTTGTTAGCATTGTATTCATGAGTGACCTTATCAAATTTGATTTTCCCTTCATATTTACTTTCCCTCCATCCCCTAGCTCAACTAGAGGAAGGTTTGTTATCTTCCATTATACTTCACCTCCTGGTCTATGACACCCTTCTGTTATTGAACATAAATGATGAGATGGCAGTTCTCAACTACCAGCCAGTCTCACTCTCTTTAGAAATCTGCTACTCTCTCACCAAGACCTCAAACACCATAATAGTATGAATCTTATCGAAAGTGTTTCCTTGTTTAAACTTTTACGGATTCAGAATGATGCTGCATTGTGAATAATTTTTTTAAAACCAGCGTCCTCTCAATGTTGTGTCACATTAATAACTGCGCACAGCCCTGATCTTCACTTTGGATAGCAACTTACTCATGGTGTCTTCTCCCTAACATAGAATTTTATTTGTTTTGTTTTTGTTTTTGGCAGAGATTGTACAAGTTATTTGACACTCTTAACACTCGGGTGTTTAAGAAAATGGAGAGGACAATTCCTGGCTTTGATAAAATAATGAATAAGGTGATGAATGAATATTATGATAGACTGGCCAAATTGGAAGAGAAGAAAAGGCTGAAGAGAAGCGGGAAACTATAACTTTTTCATAGTCTAAGTTCTGCTAATCAATCGGTAAGACGCTATATTGTTTATGGTTACTGGTTTTGGTGCACTTTCAACCCCTATACAAAGTTGCAAGCTGCAGGCACTGAGAGAGGCCTTGAAAGCCTTGAAAGCTTGAATTATAAAATTTGCATGGCCTATTGTAGACGTGTACTAACACAAGTAGTAGTTAGTGATGAATATTTCGTGCACTTTCATTTAAAGGAGTTGTAGAGATTGCTTCTAAGTTCAACAATGTATACATCTACGAGTTTCTTGTAGTTTTTATCATCCATGTGTTTCTATATCTATTTTATGTCATTTTTCATGTATTCATGTCATAATGTGAACATTGTATTTTTATTTGAGTATTTCAAAAATGTGAAAAAAATAAATCCTTTCATATGTTGTCATGATTTAATTGAAGAATTATCATTCAAGTATACTGTGAAACCCAACGTTAAGCTTTGGGCTCGACATGACCTTATTTTCATTGTATTTCCTCTAGACCCAAAATTACACATGTTGTAGATGTGATCTGATTAAGACAAATTAATCATTAGCGTCCCAAAGTAGAAACTCGTGAGACCAGCGCAACAGATAGAGTTTTATACTCACATTCCTCATTCAGGCAAAACAAAATGTCACTCAAGAAATGAGTCACGTACTGAAATTTACAAACTTCGATCCATATACATATATGCACGGTCAATCCAAACAAAACATGTATGCGTACCGTCATCAAAAGTACAAACAGCCTTAAGAAGAAACAAGCCTCATGATTTTTCCAAAGCTAGTGCTAATTTATATACAACCTATGAGTAGAAAATCACGGGGACTGATAGAAGCAATCCCATTTGTTTCTCTTAAGCAACCTAGTCAAAGACATAGTGCTCATGTTTTATCACCGCGCCTAATATGCACATAACGGCTACGATGATTATAGCAACCTGCAGGGTGCAGAGCAAATCAGCTGCTTGGGGCAGACACCCCTTCTTTGTCTTCTGTTCAAGCATGCTGTCCAAGAAAGGACTTTATCGCCTGATTACACGCCTTGCACGGCACAGCGCGATGACGTGGATGATAGTGACAAATGTCGTTGCATAGAGGTCAAACAAATTTAATATGTCTCGTTTAGCTGCAAAAGATCAATCATTAAATGTGTTTTCTTACTGTGTTGAGGTAATTGATCAAATAAACTAATCAAGTGGATTATGCCACACACCGAATGGAAGAAATTCGAATGGGTTGAGCACATACATCATGCCGAGGGCCATCTGCAATGAAGGCACAGTCATCTTTAACAGCAAATTGGCACATAAGTTCGAGTGCGTAAAATCAAATCTTTATCCATTCAAAAATACAAATTTTATCAATACAATTGATTCAGAAAAGTAAACGATGCATAACAAGCGATAACGAGATAATGCGTATAATAGCAGAACAGTTAACAGTATGACAATAGCATACTGTTGACTAACTTGGCACGATCCATATATCATAAGTATGGAGTAAGAGACAGTTGTCCATGGGATCCCTAACTTCAAACCTCCCATTGAAATGATTCTAAAAGAAAGAAGAGCATCAACCAACGAAACATGCACCTCTCTAAATCAATCGATTTATTCAAGTATTGAGCAGCAAAATACAACAGACCTCAATAGACAATAGAGGAAATATCACACCATGGTGCATTTGTTACTTCACTGAGGAATAGATGTTTACTTCTCAGAGGAATGGATGAAATTGAAGTGCATTATTCTTCACAATATAAGAAAGAAGAGGAAGAGGAACGCAAAATTTCATTACAATTACCCGCTGACAGAGTATAAGCATTACCACATCACAATTTAAAGGGCTATGAACCTTGTTTTTAACTGAGGATGTCTATGGAATTTCACAACACTACTGAACACAAATATCATAACGTCATGTATAACATTCTTGATATTTGCAGAGGAGAGACACTGACAAGTCTTCGCATTTGTAATTTGATTACATGTGTATAGTGCGTTAATTCCAATCTAATCTTCAAGACAAGATGTTGATCAATGCAATGGAGCAACAGAGAGTAAGAATAAAGAAGGGAAAAACACAAATCCAGTCCCATAAATAATTCAAACTTAACTGCAAAGAGACGAACTCTAGTCAAGTAAGAACTTGTTTTATCAGGATCCATCATATCTTGTAGAGCCATCCGAATAAAAAATGGGAGATCAAAAAATTTCTGCAAAGAAAAAAAAAATCATTAAGTGAATCTATAATCAAAGACCAACCGATTAGGAATTTCTAATACACATCTGCCCGGAACATTTTGGCCAACGAAAAGATTTTACAATCACCAAGCACAGATTAAATCTTCAAGAACACCGTCCATATGGCAAAGCAACTTACATTACACATTCAACTCAGTCAGAGTAATACAGATTCGTTAAGCTGCTCATGCAGGTGGTTGCCTGGATATTTGAATATGATGTCTTGAAGCCTTTTTGTCATATATTTTACGATATCACATGATGATTTATTATTTGTTGTCTTGTTGATCCTCTATCCAATTTATCTCGTGAAAAATAGGGTAACACAATTATAGCAAAAAGTCATGCACTACCTGCATGAGACCTTGCATGCCCCCAATGTGCAACCTGTTGTACCTTCTCACATTTTCCATGATTTTATTTGATTCTGGGTTCTGGCTACGGTCAAATGCTGCTTGAACGGGCGCCAGACTGGAAAAATGACGACAGCACATTGGGCATTTGCATTGCTTTGTTGCATCTCCATGAAGCCATACACGCAATATGCACTCTCCTTCACGAAGAAAATTTTCATTATTCAATTTATAGGCATATATATTACAGGAAGTTGACAGGAAATCTTGCCACAACTCACAAGTCTATGAAACATTAACAAGAACAAAGAGATAGAGCAAACCAAGGTTATTAAAAGAAAAAACAAAACAAAACAAAAAAAGAGGAATCTTAAGCATCTTGAAATACCAACTTTGATCCCTTTAAAATTTCCCCCAAGCAGATACTATAACAGCAAAGCAGGACTGATTATATTTGTTATGTCCATACATAGGTGTGGTCAGAAACACCAGATGTGGTCTTCCTGATGATAAGCCCCATGAAGATTTAAGTTGAAGGTTCCAAGGCTGGCTCAAGCAAAAGAAACACCAGATCGAATTGAAAGAACTTTTGCCCAATTTGATTGCAATGCGAAACTTACCGTTCTCCCAGATTAGTACAAGAAAACTTCACTGCGAGAAAAAGAACTTCTACCCAAGTCTAGGAAGCACAGATATGTTTAGCAAGTATCCACAAATCAAATTCTAAATTTTTAAGAACCAAGATACACAAAAAATAATACAAGACATACGAACATATAAGAAAAATTAAATTTCAAATGAACATTTAAATATGAAGATGTCTATAACAAGTTACCAATAAAAACATCAAACAAATTAAAACCATAGTTCAAATCAATCTTCATTTTCTTTCACATTCGATAAGCCCTTCAACTGTTTCAGAACGTCTCAGTACATTCAGATACGTTTACAAAGGCATCGATTTTTTTCCCCCAAAAAAGGTAAGCTGTAAAAAACCCAAGGCACAGTAAGCATATCGTAGCGAACAAGAATAAGTCGTCTCGTAGTCGTTGTTTTCCTCGGAGTACAGGTGCTTCATAGCCCCAAGTTCATTGCAATTCGCAGCTTGACCTGCTCCTAAACTAGCAAAAGAAAACATAATCGCTTGTATAAAGATGTCGTTTCTATCCCTTCTTTTCCTTCCTGTTCTCCTACCCAACAACGCACGACTATATCTGTTTAACCTCACGAAAACCGAAACCTAGGTTCCTGACACAAAATAATCATATCACAATCGAAACTCTCATCTCTCTCATAGTTAGCCCCTCCATTTCGGCGAAGACGGTTTCCATTGCAAGAACCCCCAATGTTAAACCCTAAGCAGCATCAATAACGACCATGCAATAAAATAACAAATAATGGACATTGCAACAAAATTAAGAAGAAAAACGAAGGAACAGAATTTACCGCAGAACCAGTGCGAGCAAGAGGTGCGGCATGGGAGGTTGAAATCGCCATGGCAGACGGGGCAGCAATCGTCGCGAGGAGGAAGCTCTATTACCGTATCCTTGGCCATTGTTTAATTCGAATTCACCTTTCAACACCGCCTCACCTGCCCCTTCTTATTCTTCTTCCCCGTCTTCTTCCTCCCCTCTCACGTCGGCGCATATTTTTTCTTGGGAATTTTTCCAAGATAAGGGAAGACCTTTTTATGTACTCAATACCAATACGTCAACTTTCACTCGTATATTTAGTTTTTATATATTTATAGTGCTTGTTTTCAACTAAATCAAGATATATAAATTAATAAATCTTGTTATTAACATTAAAAGGTGGAAGAATTATAATGAGATGCCAAGAAAAAAAAATAATTACAAAATAAGTTTAAGAAGTTATCATTTTTCATTTTAAAACTTGTCATTACAACTTACTTATATTGTTATTAAAACTTTTTAATAATTATTTTTGGCTAAAGTATATATTTGGTCCTTTTACTTTGTGTAAAATTTCAGTTTAGTTTTTTAACTTTTAAAAATATACTTTTAGTCCTTTAACTTCAAAATTATTAGTTTTAAATGATAATTTTTTGTAACAATCATGGTTATTTTAAATATTAAACTTAATAGGTTAGTATTTAGTAACATTTTATTAGCATTCAAGAGTTCAATATTATTATTTTTTGTTAATAGTTTTAGTATTAGAAGATTAAAATTTTACTTTTTAAAGTTAAGGACCAAAATAAAATTTTGTATAAAATTAAAAGACCAAAAGCATACTTTAACTCTTATTTTTTTTATTTAAAAAATCATTGTAATTCTCTCTTAAAACTTTGCCAACAAAAACTAGTGGCTCAATCTATAAAATTGTGATTCATGAATTCAAATTACTGTAAATCCCTTATTAGTGAGCAAAGACTTATTAAGCTTAAAAGACATATCAGGCCCTAATAAACTTTATTAATTGAAAAAAATATTATTAACATTTTAAAATTTACTTATTGCGGTTTAATTAAACAAATACATATTAAATAGAAAAATCACAAAAAACAGACTTTTGAAATTGAAAAATTACATACAAGGATCCATTCATAAAAATTGTTGCCATTTGCTAATGTTATAATAAATCCCTATTTGTAATTTTTCTATTTCAAAAGCCTTTTTTTTTTTTTACAATTTTCCCTATTAAGTTTATAATATCAATTAATTAATAATTAATAAATTAATTCAGATTGATTTGTGCTTCCTAAACACATTGACATGACCTTAGAAGGCATGTGCAACAAAAGAAAAAAAGATAAAATTAAAATTAATGATCAACATACACCCTCTCAGGATGTCCATTGAGGAAGGACTCTTCCTTCAGAATTCCTACGATTTATATCCAATGCAGTATTTTCTATATTGTCAAAATCTAGATCTTCATCTAGGCAATCTTTAAAATAATCTTCTTCCGCAGAATCATAAACCACAGCATTTGTATTCTTTCTCTTTACCGTCCTTTTCTTTGAACGACCATTACTTCTAGTGCACTCATCATCATCCCCTTTTACGTTTTGGTCTCGTCTCCTTTTAGCAGAATCATTACTCTCGTTGCTCCAGCTGTTGCTTTTGTCCGACTTGTGATATTCCCTTATGGTATTTTCAATGGTTTCCAGTAACCGATCTCCATACTTGCTTACCTTGGCCCTGAAATCCAAATGGCAATTAAATTTGAACCATATTGGCATGGATGTTTAAGCTAAAAACCCCTAGTACATTACTCAAATCATCAATACTAGACCGAGTTTAGTATTCCTCTAGTCTTATTTATAAGGTTGAGAGAGTATTTTCTAGTCCTATTTATAACTCACCATTAAATTTTTCAAATCAAGATATAATTTTACTTTTCATTTATTATTGTGTTAGGTGTTATTTTTATTTCTTTTTTTGGGAAGTGTATATATTAAATAGGGGTAAAGATGGAACATTACTAAATTTTAAAATAGAGTTAATATAGTTTAAAATTTTTCTTAATTTTAAAACATGCTAGGCCTTGTAAGTATTACCAAAGGAGAAATTTTCAAAGGAATATAATGCAGTCAGAGAAAGAGAAAAAAAGATTAGATTAATGTAATGAGAGAAGCGGACCCTGTACGTAAGTCCTACTCATTTGTACCACCCCTTTTAACCGCATGACTGCATCAGTGTATTACTGAAAAATTGCAAGTGTAACTTCAATGCGCCTCACTTTGAAACTCATTTAGCTATGCTTGAAGTAAACTTACTTGCTAATGCCATTGATCTCAAGGAGCTCTTCCTTTGTTCTCGGTATTCTCTTGCTTATCTGCTGCAGCGTCGCATTTCTATATCATAAGAGAAACATTAGCTCAGCAGAATCTTACCAAAGCAGGAAAAAAATTACCATTCAGGTTGAAAATTTTTCAATTGCATTGTTCGTAGTCAATAACCATGTTAGAAAATCGATCCTAGACAGAATTACAGAAAAATCATATAAAAGAGGGAGAGCAGAACCGTCTGCGAACTCACCCAAAAATGTGGTAGGCCATGACACCCTCTCCAGCTTCTTTGACAATAGTTGTCCGCAGGAGCCGCAGAGCAGTGAACAACTTAGCGGAAAGATTCTGAAAGTAGACTGATGTTATAAAAAACTCTGGGCACTCCAAAATTTTATCAACAAAAACAGGAAAAAAAGAAAGTATCTAGGGTATACCAAGTCCACTTCAGTTTGAGGTGAGGCAGGAGGATCATTTTGTGGAAAATTCGCCTTCCCAGATATCAGAGAGCCTTTAGCTGGTGTTATTCCTGGAGTTCCCAGCTTTGATGCTTTTTCCGAGGAAGGAACTCTGCAAAAAGTTATGAATGCCAACGAGTGGGCAATATAAACTGAAGGGAAAAAATATAAAACAAAGTTGCACGTATAATAAATGTAACTAGGGAAAAATAGAATGCTTGAAAGACGGCTAAATCACCAAATAACTAGCATCTAAATTCACAAATTTGAGAAGAAGCAGTATGTAAAACCTTAATATAATTTTCTGGCCACCAAACAGATTACGGGCCTTGGACTCATTGACCTGAAAGACTAACTATGCGTTAGACACAGAATCGAAAACTAAAAATGGAGAATAATAACCTATATAACTCATTGAAGCACAGAGATAGCATACCAAAGTAAGCTTTAATACCTTTAATATTGATGAAATTGATCCATAAATATCACTTTTCTTTACATCCTCCGCAAGAAAATCTTGAATAACAAGATGATGCAACACACGGGAAGCCTCTCCCTTAGCTAGATGCTTCCCAGCACCATGAAGCCGTACTGTTTCATGCCGGTGTTTCTTGACCTAATTTTGACGTTAAAACTATATGATTAAAGGCAATCAATGGGCATAGACAGCAAGCAAATGCATAGTGACATACAAACTGGTTTAAGGAACCACGGTACACTTCTAAGATATGAGATGATGAAAAATTCTGCCCCGTTATCTTAACTAGCTCAACCTACACAGATGAAATTCAAAAGCAATGAAACTGACGTCAAAGAATCAAACAATTATAGATAGAATTTCATCAACACGTGGGATAAGAATATTTAAATTGCTTTCAAACCAATTGCTTTGCGATCTCTGTGACATCCTTCTCAATAAAACTCTTGATCTTCAGACAGTTATCACATGTTTTCTTACAGTTTGCAGGATCAAACCTCTCCCCGAAATGAGCAAGCTGCAGAAGTCGTCTACAATCACCATCATTTTCACAATAGCTTACCTGAAACAGTTCAACCCGCAAATTCAGATGTCAAAACAACAATGATATAGCAACCATATAGTGATTGCTGACAGGTAACTGCAAAATCAGTGTCTTAAGAGGTACCATCCGCAGAAGGTTTCCAGTGTTAGTCTCTAGCATCCTTGAATTTGTCAAATTAGATCGATTATATCCAGATGTCATTGGGCTTTGCTCTATTGCTCCTTGAGTTATCATGTGCTTAACTCGTATCTGTGTACGTACACAAGAAACCACTAAACATATGCAAAAGAAAGAAAAATGATGAAACAGTATTTACTTCTACAATTGATACGGACATAGTCACTATAGCTATAATATAATATGCAGGATGAACGTTGACCATCTCTACCAGCTCGTCCACACTCCTGAAAGCAAAATGATAGCCATAGAAATGAGGCAACACAATAAACTAGACAAATATCAGCAACGACAATTTGAGTTTAAATGAGACCTGGTGGTATCCTTCAATAGATTTTGGGAGAGAGTGATGAATTACAAAGCGAACATCAGGTTTGTTAATTCCTGAAAGATCAACTTTAATATATGATTCCATTCAATACAAAAAATGTAATATACACTGGCAGAGAAGAAAAAGTACCCATTCCAAATGCCACAGTAGCACACATTATATTGATTTCATCTTTGCTCCATTGCTTTTGAACAAATGTTCGTTGAGCAGGATCCATGCTTCCATGATAAAATGCAGTTTTATGTCCACATTCCTGAACAACGAAGTAACTATATAATCAATTTGCAAACTAAAAATGAGATGTTAATCTCTTAATTTATTTTTCACTTAGAAACGTCTCAATAAGCTTAAAGCAATACAGTTTCACCAACAGGAAAGTCACAGACTTGTGATATTTCATGACAAGAATCGCAAGATACCTATATAAACATGAAAAAATTACTAAGCAAGCAATATCAGAGGTAAGCTCGTAGAAATGTAGGTGATCTTAGTGTTACTAATTATCTACATGTGCGGAGCCTATTGTTCGAAGTATGTTCTCAAATGCACAGGAACACACAAGGAATTTATCTCATTGCCACTTACCCTACATTGTCCAAAATATAGTACAATTTGGGCTGACAGTCCAAACTAGCATAATCATCTCATGAGTTCAGAATCAATTTGAGTTCAAAGTAACATATTTAAGATTTGGAAAAATGAAAAAGTGCTGCCCAGGAGCTTGAAAAGAATTTGATGATCTGATACCCCACAAAGACTAGCATCTGGCAGTCAGAGGATGGAAAACTATTTCGGTCAACCAAACCAACAAAATCAGAATGGGCTAAAACTTTAGCCTTGGCATTAGCAATATCAAAACATTTTCAAGATCCTGTCAATCCATCACATAAAATCTTAAATTCCACAAACCAACAAAACAACCAACCTGTAATTTTTCAGCAACTTTTTCACAGTCAATTCGTGAAAGACAATAAATAATGCCACATTCGTCATAGTGATTTTCCCTGATGAATTTATCAATGTCCTCCAAACACTTTCTTGTCTTGGGGACAACAGAGTACCTGCAATATTAAAATAAATCATAATTCATTGGTTCAAGGCATAATAAGGAGATGGTCATTGTCAGATATACCATAAGTTTGGGCGATTAAAACTTTGCCGGAAAACAATGCAGTTGACAAGACCAAGAGCTTGAACAACATCTTCTTTTACGCTGGCTGTTGCTGTAGCTGTCAAAGCCAGAACAGGAGTATTTGGAAACTTTTGTTTCAATATACCAAGGCCCTGGATCAAGTGGCAGAATGATTAAAATTATAACGAAATGTCAAGTGACATTGGATAAATTTAAAAGAACAAAAGCTCTAACCTGATAATCTGGTCTAAAATCATGCCCCCATTGGCTCACACAATGAGCTTCATCAATTACAATCCTAGCAAGCAACTCACGAACATGCAAACTCTCCAATTGCCGCAAAAGAACATCACTTCTGCAGTATAAAAAAAAAAAAAATAGAAGTTTATGAAAAGAAAAGGATTTTACTTGAAAACTATATGTATCAGACATTTTTTTTAAGGTTGGAGCTGCCATTGGTAAATAAAAATACTCACTTGGCAACTTTTTCAGGTGTTACATATAAAAACTTGTATTTACAATAATCAGAATTAATTTCTCTCAGGATCTCCTGCTGTTCAGACCAATCCATATTGGAACTCAAGTATGTAGCAGGGATATTTGCCTGCATGGAAGACCAAAAGGGAAATGGAAATATATTTCAATCAGAAAACAACAACAGTGAAAAGTGAAAACAAGTCAATGAAAAAAAAAAAAAATATCAATACCTGCAGCAGATGCATTATTTGATCTTGAATAAGGGACACAAGGGGAGAGATTACTAAAGTTATACCTGGACAAATAAGAGCAGGGAGCTGCAAGACAACAGTCCAAAGTTGTAAGACACTAGGACCTTAAACAGGAAATTCTTGAAGCTACTTTTCATGTCATGCATGAAAAATTGACCTTGCAAATTAAGTAGGGTTAGCTATTTGGTGAGAAGATATAACAATACAATATACATCATGATTAATAAAACTCACAATTCCCCCACACCTTGAGATTGAGACTTAAAATTGAATTTCTCAAACAGTATGTACAGTGTACATCTAATGAGAAGTCAAAGAAGCCATTGACTCAGATATTCTCTGGAGATAGCATATTACCTGGTAGGTCAGACTCTTCCCTCCACCCGTAGGCATTAAGACAAAAACATCATATCCGCTCATTGTAGCATTAATAACCTCTCTCTGATTGGGGCGGAATGAATGATTTCCAAAAACCTTTTTATTGTTGGCCTAAAAGGAAGACAAGGAAAAATTAAAATAATGATGGACTGAAGGTTAACAAGCACTAGAAGTGGACAATAATTAAATACCTCCAGCTTTTTTGTCCAAGGAAAATTTTGGTCGCTCCAGCGTTTGTCTCCAGAACCTTCAATGTAATTAACATCAATAATCTTAGGAATAAATGTTTCTCTCTCCATTGGGCCTGACGACATGCCATACTTATCAACAGCAGAGAATGAAAATGACTGGAATGAAGCTCCACATGGCTCATTACTCATATAAGCCTGGTTATCATATCTCATTGATCCACTCCTGAGTTCAGTTTGATTTGGTCTCTCAAACTGAAAAGAAGTTGGAGGTGCTGTGGATGCCGAAAAATGTGAGTTTTGTCTTTCCACATCAAGCTTACAGGAATGAATATATCTTTCGAGTTGCTGAATCTGCTTATTTAACTGTGACCTGGCAACAGAGATTTTTCTTTTAAGCAAACGCAATTTAGTGCCCAATGCTTTAATTTATTCCATTCAAATTCAGTATTCAGTTTAAAGGTGTATGCCGCAGCCTTTTCTAAAATATATATTTTGTTTACAACAATGTAACAACAGTACAATAATAGTACTAATAAATAAGCTTCCAGTAACTTACCTAAATTTGTGTAATTTAAAAAAAAAAAAAGTCTGCAGTCAAAATAATTAAAGTGAGACCTACAATTAGATCAGCCTGTTTGTAAATTTGTGACATTTTTTTCGTCCTTTGCTTCTACTTTTTTCCTTAAATGTAAGTAAAATAATGAAGAAAGCAAATGTTGAAAATAGGAAATAATTTCAAGGGAAATCCAAACCTGTCTTGACGAAGCTTTGCTATCTGTGAAGAATTGAGGCTGTCAACATTGTCAAGCAGTTCATTGGAGATAGCAATCAGATTGTCCTTCCATTCCTGCAAATGGTTTGCTGCTTCAGGGCAAAGCGCTACCTGTATCCCGTTTCAGACTTTGGTATATCAACCTGACAAGCCAACCACAGTAACTTATGAAAGGACAATATATTTGATCATAAATACCTTATAACCATGAATGCAATCTGAGCACAACTCCAGAGGCAAACCATGTTCCCCTTGTCTAGCAAAACTCTTTGCATCAACAGTAGGAGTAATAGGCGGAAACTTGGCTATTGATGGTTGAGGAGTGCAAGTTGACTGGTAGTTTTCCACTATTTGGTCAACATCAATGTTCTATAAAAGAGAGACAACGCAGGAGAAAATATTATGTCCATGTAATTAAGAAGTTACAATAAATTTAAGTGACCGATTTTAAAAACAATTGAATAACCACACCTTAAACAAGGAAATAAAGAGATAAAACAATAGAATTGAAATATAAAAATATTAGCTACTCATCAGTATACACCTCACAAAAAAGTGAGGAACCTGTGTTCCCTTTGGCTTTTAAGACTTATGGTTTAGATCAGGTAAATTTTTCAGAAAATTAGTCATTTAATAGACAAAATAGACAATAAGATTTAGAGAAACTTCTACAGATCCCTTCACCAATCAAAATAAAAACTCAAGTAGGCCCATTGTTAATGAAGTTGGATTTATTTTGATTATAGTCCAATGTGTTCACAGCAAAATGTTCCTGCTGTTGAACCAAATGAATTTAACTCTTTTAGATGATTAATTTGTCAGTACTCACCCCAAGTATATCATCATCATCCTCATCAATTTTGGCAGCCATACAATTTGTTGACCCGTTAACTTCAGCAGTATACTTTGGACGGTTGTTCACTGAACCATCCAAAACTCGAGAACAGTGGTTACTGACTGTTGGAGTTGTGGCTTCATCGAGGCACCTCAAACTATCCCCTCCTTCGGCTGTAGGATTACTTGATGGAAAGCATTGATTAGATTTCACATTGTTTTCACTTGAGACGTTAAAATTATAAAACTGAGAACATCTATCATTCTCAGAACTTCTCTGCCAGGTAGTTGTTCTCTTGTCTGCAAGAATTGGAGGACTGATTTGGGCAGTTTTTCCCGGTTTGGCATAGTTTCTGCAAGAATTCTGTAGACTAGAAAGAGCACACCAAGCCTGCCAAAGATTTTTTTGTTTTTTGCCACAAGCCACTAACAAGTTATAAGGGTGTACAAGAAGAACATTCAGAATTGATTTAACAGCTAAAAGGGAAATATAGTGTAAAGAAAAGTTCAGCCTGAGTAATTTGACTCCAAGGCACAAAACCATCATATAAAGAAGGCAAGTTATTGCTGTATAAATTAGGCAGGAAACAAGGCCATCAACCACCTTTAATGAATTCCAAATATAACATGTTCACTGAAGGACAGCAGGGTAAACTCCTGCACAGAGCAAACATGCTAAAACAAGGTAAAATTACTTATGTTCCAATTGGCATTTTTACCTTCTCAATGTGCGCTCTCTGCAACCTTTGAATGTTTTGATTTTGATAGAGTACAAATCTGGAAAAGAGAAGGAAAAAAAAGAAAAAAAAAAGAAAGAGGTTAATAAGGATTTGCTAACAACTATCTCATGGTCTTCCTAGAGCCACGACTACAAAACAGAAAACTCATCAAAAAAGTACTTTGATCATTCATGGATATTAGGAAAAACCACAAAAATATGGTTACATTGCCACATCAATCCAACATGGATACTTTGAAACTTCAATTTAAGCAGTTTGAGCCATCATATATCATGGTCTCCAAGGGAAAATATTAGACCTGGACTATTTGTAATGATTATATAAGATAGCAAATGGATTCTTAGACAGAAACAGATGCATATGCAGCTATCACTACACTATAGAGCATTGCTTTCCCTTAACAGTAACTTCCTAGTTACAAATAACCCAATCTTCTATGCCCCATCTATAAAGGTCTAAAATAGTTTCATTAAAACTTCTACGTTTTGACAACCTATATAGCCAGCATAATATCTCACATTAACAAAGAGTCAGTGAAGGACTAGAGACTGCAACAAACAATGAAAAAATAAAGAGGAAGACATCGTTGTAATAAAACCATACCTCCCACGCAAAGCTTCTTCTGAGCATGGTTTTTGAGTTGGCAAGGAGAATAGGAAGTTGGAAGTCAAAAAACTGTTTTGACATGAAAAGTTCTCGTGTGCGCTGGCATGATCCAACCAATTGACTTTAGGAAGCCCATCACTGGCTGAATTGGTTTGACTGCGAACACTCAAATGTAATTAACGACAACCCAAAAATTAATAAAAGGAGGAGGGGAAAGTATATAGAACCATTACCCTTGCCTCATTTTGATTTTTCAGTAGTCATTGTGCAACGCGTTTGCTGGTTTCACCCGTCATTTCCCTATTCAGTAGCCACAACAAAACCTTATAATCAAAAATTATGCTTCAAACAAGGATACCTAATGACACATTTTAATCAATAACTAATAATGGCCACCGTCCCATGTATCCCTACATACCAACACGATAACCATAAATAAAACTAAATTTGTTGAAAAATTCTCAGGGCCATTTTAATTTCCCCTGCTGAATTCAACTAGGTAGTATAAGGCACAGAATATGCCTGTAAAATAAAACCCACGAACTGCCATTCCCATAGTTACCAGCAAGACAACCTTCCAGAATCATCAAAAACGCATGTTTGAGACAAGCATGTGAATTAAACCCTAGCAATGTGATAAATTTAAGAACAAAGAACGAACAACGGTCGAGAGAGAAGTGGACCTACGAAGATGAGGCTTATGAGTTGCCGTGGTGAAGAACAGGCAGCGATGGGCGGAGAGATGAGACGGAAAGTGAGGCGCGATCTTCAAAACGAGGTGGGCGTGGCGTTGGCGGGAGTTTTCTGTGTTGAACCAAAGCTCAGTGGGAAATTGACTGATGTCAAAATAAATAAATAAAATGGAAAATTGACTTTTTTTTTATAAAGTCCACTTAAAATGTTTAGTGCCCATTTGGATTGACATTTGTTAAATGCTTATAAGCATTTTCAAGTTTCACATAAATCAAAATAAAGTTTCACTTACATATTTATTTAGTATTTTGTAAATTCTCATTAATTTTAAATATAAAGTCTAATTTTCTTTTATCATCTCCTATCATATATATTTCTTTATCATAATATCCTTATTTATTGGAGTAATTTTGTTTCAATGAATTAAATTCTAAGACACTAAATGAGAGGGATACTTTTGGGGAAAAAAGGTCATAAAATCTCATCATATTAATCACAAAGAGCCACTTGAAGTATTTTTTAATTCTATGAATTAAATTTTTTTTTTTAAAAAGTTATATTTGAGAGCCAATCCTACCATTTTCTCTTCAAAATTTCACATTGTTTTGTGTATATTTAAATTAACTTATTTCAAGTGATTTTATACGGTATCATGTAGGAGAAGTTTTATAAAACGTAAAAAAAATACAAATAAATTCACGTAAAAAGAAAAAAAAGAAATGCAAATAAATCATGTCTAATATAGACTTTTGACTCATCAACGTTTGATTCTCAAAAGAACACACGTTATCCAAAAAAACACACACAGATCTCTTCATCTTCAGCTTTGGATTGGTTCAAAACAAAAAATATTTCATGACAATATGTGTTATGAATGTGAATGCTCAATCCATGTTGTGTACAAATTATATAGCTGTACAGGTACAGACAAATGTACAAATTATGCCTTTATCTATTCTGATGTATGATTAAAAAAAAAAATTTATTTCAACTAAAATATTTGAGAAAATTTAAACTTTGTGGTACTTGCACTTCTGTCCCAGATTGAATCTATTGACATGATGATTGAACCCATTGAAAACTAATGTTCTTACGGCTCCAACTCCTTGGTCCAATGCATCATCAGTCTGTTAATTAAACAGCAAAACCAAAGTAAAATAAACAAGAGTGGCAGAAAACTAGTCTTTTAATTTCAAAGATTATTGCAAAGATGAATTAAAAAAGGGTGTTCATTTTTGGGGGTGTTTGGATGAAGCCAAACCATAGTTTAGATAATAGCTTCTGGAGAATAAATTCTGGAGAGAATAGATTTTGAAAGAATAAATTTTCTGAAAAAGTGATTCTGATAAAGTGAGAGTGTTTGGATAGTTGTTGTCAGAAGTGCTTTTTTATATGTAGAAATTACTAAAAAGGACATAAATTTAAATGATAATTACATATAAGATATATTTCATAATATATGTTTATTTGAAGTAAATAAATAATATTAATAAAATATACCTTACGTATATATATATTAATAAAATAAATAAATATGTTTTTTTGCAAAATAATTTAATAAAGTAATTAAATATGTATATATATTAATAAATAATATATAGTAATAAAATAATTAAAATTAATACGTATATATATTAATAAAATAACTAAATATGTTTTTCGTAAAATAATTTGTCACCAGTGGCAACAAATTTCAAAATGGGAGGAGGTGAAAGCACTGCAAATAATGGTAGAATGAGAGAAGAGAGAATTTTGTTTTCCACTGTTGAAACCTCTCTGACAGAAGCAATTATTATTTCAACAAACATATTTCTCCACAATCCACAATTTGCCCGCTTATACGAAAATCATGGTTTGGCTGGCCAAAACCATGGTTTTCCCAAAAAAAAAAAAGGTGTTTGGCAAATTTTTTTCCAAACCATGGTTTGGAAAAAAACCCAAACACCCCCTTTTCCATCTTTGATCCAGATTGTTCATATGTCAAACCAAAATGGACGCAAAATGAATGTCTTTTCATTGCCCCATTTAAGAAAATGATCATTAGAACTCTAATAATAAGAACTAAAAATCTGAAATCTACACTATCCAGATAAAATCTTGACGGTCTAAGTCTTATCTCCAAGATAAACATAATGTAATTTAATTATTCCTGCCAGGAGGTATCACCTGTTTACGCTCAACTGACTGAACTTCTGTAGAAGATGAGCTTTCATATCCATGTTTCCAGGGGGATTTCCAATTCCTACAAGACAATAACCTGATAAATCCAATACTGCTGAACCTGCTATGAATACAGCATCTTTCAGTTGTAGAACATAAGGAACTTACCGATGCAAAGTCGAGGAAATGCACGAGAGCCATCAAAATGGCCTATCACATTTTTCACTCTCCAACAGTCTACCACAAGTTACATAAATCTCCAGGATGATTTCTGGAAGTTTACGGTGGTTATAGAAATGTATAGCCACTGAAATACTGATATCTAAAATAACTTGCTGTTAGAGTAGTTTGGGTGTCATCAGGGTAAATTAAGTGTGTTAGCTAAACAGAGACCTAGGAGCCTCACAAAGTAAAGAAAGTAATAAAACCTCCTTTTAGTATCTTCTGTGTTTCTCTAGAACTACTACATACCAAATCTTCACCACTAAAATGTCTTCAAGTAATTACTAAGGATTTTATAAATAGCGTATTTAATGGTATCATGACAAGATTTGCATCAGCATACCAGTTTAAGGCAGCAACAAGATTTATAACAACACTGAATGAATGCTGATCTAATATTCAGGCATTCAAGCAACTATGAGAACCCTAATCAATGCAGTTTGTTTGAAGCTGCTAAGGATTAAGCTTTATCTCACAAACAACCTGACTCGACCATCAGGTCAATAAATTCAGGAATTCCTGTTTCAATAGGTAACTTAGGATTTGCAAGTCCCAATTTTGAAAATCACACAACCCAAGGAAATACTAAAATTTATGTGATGTGTAAAAATTAGTTTTTGTTTTTCATTCTTACCCTCAATTAAATGTCATGGGATGTTTAAATAGCAAGGGTGGGATAGGTAATTTACATTTTCTATAAGAGGCATTCTCGGAAACATGCATTGATTACACCTAGAAATCTTTAGGGACAAAAAAAAGGCAAGGGGTGTCTCCACTTCCTTTTCCCTCCATTTTCATCCACTTTTATCTCAACTATAAGATTGAAATTTTAACGGTTCAGATTTCATATTTATAAAATTACGAATAAAACGTTAAATTTTTAAAAATAAATAAATAAAATCAAATAAAACTAATAAATTTTAGTCAATATAATTCAAAACAATAATAAAAATACTTTATAAAATTATTTTAAAAAACATTAAATTTGGATTGTTAAACTTTCAATCTTAATGGTTGAAATGAAAAGTGGATGAAAATAGAGAATAAGAGAAGTGAAGAGACTCTTTGCCTCAAAAAAAGATGAAAATTGAGATCTATATTAAGGGCGGAGGAAGTATTTAGTTCTAACAAATTAGAGATGATAAGAAATTGTAATAAACATGTTCTAGGCAAATCTAATATTACCCGTTGTGATGGCCATGTCATTGGAGCCTTAAAACACCACTTGGTAGGCTCATCTCATCATAAACGTATATCGAAATTACCACATACTTGTAAACTGTAACCACTATTCTGTTTCTTATTATAGGTCATTTGTACCCCAAAAGTTTATTTCAAAATATAAGTCACTTGTAGTATAATTAATGATCTTTTTTCAAATTTTATCCCTATTAATTTAATAAAAAAATTAATTAATTTAAGTCTAAAGCAATGGCTTCTCGAAACACATCCCTCTCTCTCTCCCTCTCCATATCTTTATTTAATAAGGATAAATGAGAAAAAACCAGTTAATTTAATGTATTTCTTAATTTGCGGATTTAGGATACAAGTGATTTATAATAAGAAACACAATGGTATTTTATTAAACATCATTTTGATCGTAGCAAGGTACAGAAAAACATACTAGTAAAATATGGCGCAAGGGTACTTTACAAGAGGCAGCAAGTGGTCCAACCTTAAAGTAGAAGACAAAGAAGATTATGTCAGGCACACAAATTAACCTAAAAAGCGACGGGTCAAATATTCTTCATATGATAAAAAATACAACACATTATATGATTGAAAACAAACCGATTCCCCACAAAAATTCATGTATGTTTGAGGTTTTGCCAACAAGATTGGTACTTCTCCTATTGAACCTGTACTGATCGCAAGAAATTCGAATCAGTAAATTGGGAGGTAAAAAGAGAGAAGAAACTACACATACACATAATGGAAGCAAGTAATGCACCTATTCCAATCAGGGCTTTTGATTTGATTGTGTTCATCAAAACCCCTTCTGCTTGAGAAATTCTGGCGATCATTTCAAATCTCCAAGTTTGCCAGGATAGGTTACACAAAAGCTTGGGGCGGATGCTGCATACAACAATGACCTACCCTAAAATGATAAGTACAATGGATAGTCCAAAAAAAATTTGATCAAATAGTTCAGATCCCTCTAAATTACACCACACGGAGACATTCCAAGTTGAGAAAATTAAGCAATACATAAGAG